GAGTTTAAGTGCAAAGGAACATACACAAGGAATCACACAAGATATAAAAAAAATAACAGAATCTAAAAAATAACAGAGAATATAAAAAAAAACAATAAAGACCTCTGTGTAGGCTAGGATGTAGAATTAGCTCATGTAACTAAGTGATCCCTTCGTTTATTAACTAACATTTACCAGCTTTTCTTAATGATGTTTGAAAAACAGTCATCAGTTGCTCCTTGAGCTGGCTTTTAGATCCATCCATCACTTTGTATTATTTTAATGTTTGCTGGAAGACAGAACTTATTATTCTAAGGGGTTGGGTTGACTAGTCAGTTGTAGGACAACTTGCGAGTTTTTACGTTTCACGTCGACTTGTCGCAATAGCGTGATTGTGTCACACCACCGCCTGGTGCTGATCACTGCCCCCCTGTTTTTATCTTTAGTTTATTTAATCCACTAAATAAAATAAAAATAAAAATGGGCGCACCACCACCAGTGGAGAATCTACCACCACGCACCACCACCGGTGTGCACTACGAACCATCGCTGTTGGAGAATCCACCACCACCGCCGTGGGGGTTTATTTTATTTAGTGGATTAAATAAAATAAAACAAACTTTTCTAGCTTAGTAATAGTTTAGTTTTTCCTGTGACTTAGTTGCAGTATGATAAATGTTAGGAGCATAAATATATGCCCCTAATGTTTGTTGTTCTTTTTTTGTAAATAATAAATGACGTTTTTTGTGAATATGATATAACGTCTTGAGTTCCTATGACGACACAGTGACTAGTTGACATCAAATTGACTTTTATCATGTTGAAGTAGACTTTTAAAAAAATATGTAGTCGTGTAACCCCCAGTTCTAAGACAAAGGCACAAACAGAGTAATATTGTGTATGCTCTTCAGTGTCAGGAGGGCTGTGATCAGTCTTACATCCGGAAAAGAAACAGCCACTGGCCGAAAGGATGGCCCAGCACAGAAGAGCAACATCATCAGGCCAGGACTCTGCAGTCTACACTCATCTCCAGGCCAGCGGTCACTCTTTCAGGGATGAAGATGTGCACGTCCTTGATTGAGAGGAACGATAGTTTGAGAGAGGAGTAAAGGAGGCCATCTTTGTGAAGAGAAACCGTCCATTATTAATCGGGTGTAGGCCTCCGTGTTCAACTGTATCACTCATCCTTCTGTGAATAGCAAGCAGCCATCAGGGCACTAACGACCAATTATTAGGATAATGGTCCAACTGTATCATGTGAACAGCTAGTTCAGGATGTCAACAAAAACTGGTTGATCCACTATGAGAAGGTGCTATTTGTAAGACTGGGTTTGTTGAAGCTCCTCAGACCGAAGAAGTCTTTTGGACAGAAGATGAAATGTTTTAACAAGTATTTTTTTAATCCGTCCAGAGGACCTGACTTAACTTTGTTAGATTTTTCTACCTGAATTATTGAGCATGCATCAGGACATTAGTGTTCAGTGGAAATTCAGTCTAACCCACCACGTTGCAAACACACTGATGTCAAGAAGTCTAGCAAAACACAGCTGAGTCTTCAAATGTATATTTTACACCATATTTAAGATTTAGTGCATTGTTTCAGAAAATCAGGGTCTCTAGGAGCAGCACGGTGGCGCAACTGGTAGAGCTGCTGCCTCTCAGCGAGAAGGTCCTTGGTTCAAACCCTGGTCCAGGGGCCCTTCTGGGTGGAGTTTGCATGTTCTCTCCGTGCATGCGTGGGTTTTCTCCGGGTGCTCCGGTTTCCTCCCACAGACCAAAAACATGCATGTTAGGCTGATTGGTAACTCTAAATTGTCCCTAGGTGTGAGTGAGAGAGTGAATGGTTGTTTGTCTCGTTTGTCTCTATGTGGCCCTGTGATGGACTTGCGACCCGTCCAGGGTGTCCCCCGCCCCTCGCACAGTGATTGCTGGACATGGGCACCAGCGACCCCCGTGACCCAAAATGGAATAAACGGGTAAAGATAATGGATGGATGGATGGGGTCTCTAGGAATAAATTGTTATTTTGCAGAATTTGTGTGAAAGTATTCATTATTATTATAGCTGGGGGATACAATAATACTGAGCAACTTTGCCAACCTTAGCAAATAATAATAATAATAATAATAATCATTTTATTTAAAAAGCGCCTTTCATGACACCCAAGGACACTTTACAGTAAGAACAAAGATCAACAGGAATAAATTACATAAAGAATATAAAATACATAAAGAATATAAAATACATACAGAATATAAAATGCGTAAAGAATATAAAATACATACAGCAAAGTTAAGGATAAGCGAGTCTAAAGAGATGTGTTTTCAGAGCAGTCTTGAATAGAGAAAGAGAGGTGGTGTTTCTTAAGTCAGGGGGTAGAGTGTTCCAGAGATGAGGGGCAGAGCAGGTGAAGGCCCTGCTCCCCATGGTGGAGAGGCGGGCAGAGGGTACATGGAGGTGTAGTGAAGAGGAGGATCTGAGAGAGCGAGAGGGGATGGAGATGTGTAGGAGGTTCGATAGGTACGGAGGGGCAAGGTTGTGGATAGCTTTGAAAGTGAGAAGAAGAATTTTGAAGACGATGCGTGATTTAACCGGCAGCCAGTGGAGCTGCTGCAGGACTGGAGTGATGTGGTTATAGGAGGAGGTTTGAGTGATGACACGGGCAGCTGAGTTCTGGACCAATTGTAGCTTCTGGAGAGATTTGTTGGGGAGGCCATAAAGAAGGGAGTTGCAGTAGTCAATCCGAGAAGTCACAAGACTGTGCACAAGGATAGCTGTGGAGCGGGGTGTGAGAGAAGGGCGGAGACGGTTAATATTTCGGAGATGGAAATAGGCAGACCGAGTGACATTGTTGATGTGTGAAGTGAAGGAGAGAGTGGTGTCGAGGATGACACCAAGACTCTTGACCTGAGGTGAGGGGGATAGCAGAGAGTTGTTAAGGGGGATGAGAAGATTTTCTGATTTTGAAAGAGAGTTTTTGGTACCGACAAGAATGATTTCTGTTTTGTTACTGTTTAGTTGTAGGAAGTTGTTTGGTTTTGTTGATAGGTAGAGCTGTGTGTCATCAGCATAACAGTGAAAATGGACACCAAATTTACAGAAGATGTGACCTAGAGGAAGGAGGTAAATGATGAAGAGGAGGGGTCTGAGGACAGAGCCTTGGGGGACACCCGTGGAGACGGGGGAAGACTGGGAACGAAAGGATTTGAGCTGAATGAATTGAGTGCGGTCAGAGAGATATGATTTGAACCAGTGTAACGGAGTACCTGAGATGCCAATGGAGGTTAGTCTGTTGAGGAGGATAGAATGACAGATTGTGTCAAAGGCAGAACTTAGATCCAGTAAAATGAGGATAGACAAAAGACCAGAGTCAGCAGCAAGAAGAAGGTCGTTAGTTATTTTATTAGAGCTGTTTTGGTGCTATGGTGGGGGCGAAAACCAGATTGAAATTCTTCATAAATGTTATTGTTGGATAGGTGAGGGTGAAGTTGACTAGCAACGGCTTTTTCAAGAACTTTGGAAATAAAGGGCAGATTAGAGATCGGACGAAGATTACTGAAGTTGGTAAAGTCAAGACCTGGTTTCTTGATGATGGGGGTGATGGCAGCAGATTGGAAAGCTGTGGGAACAATGCCAGAGGTTAGGGAGGAGTGGATGATGTTAGAGATGATGGGGAGCAGAGACGGGAGACAGGATTTAACAAGAACTGTGGGAAATGGATCAAGTTGACAGGATGAGGACTTAGACTTGCTGATAATGTCAGCAATGTCATCAGCAGAGGGGAGGGAGAAAACAGAGAAGGGGAGGGAGGGAGGGAGGGAGGGAGGGGGGGGGGGAGTTCAACATAGATGCTGGGGGCGGTATTTGGTCCAAGGTGTTTATGAATTGAAAGAATCTTTTCATTGAAATAAGAAATAAGACATAGTAAGAAATAGTGTGATCTGGCTAAGAAAAATCAAATTGTTGCATTTGAGCAGAGAAAAGCATGACTAGAATGTGTTTCGTAGCTGATATTATGTTTTGTCATCATTTCACCCACCCCTACTTATTACACCATTATTAGAACTGATTGTATAATATACATGTGATTTTTATTTGAATGCCTAATTAAAATATTTCTTGGGAGTTTTATTTACAATAGTCCATTCAGCGTCACTTGTGGTATCAATGATTGTCTTACACTTTATGATCATGCCTTCACCATATTAGGTATTGTTACTATGACTCTTTATATACATTTGGCCATGCTTTTGTGATTCATTCGTATTTTACCACAAATTCATATCAAAGTCAAGTCAAAGTCACTTTATTGTCAAAAGCTGCAATATGTACAGGACATACACAGGATTGAAATTACATTTCTCTGCAACAATAACCATTTAACATTAAAACATTTATTAAACATAAGCATAAAATGAAATAATAAAACCATGATACTGTCTTAAATTGTACTATATGGTATAAAAATATTTTAAAAATTATATCTATAAAATAAAATGAAATGAAGGTCCTGACATTGATATTTGTAGTGAGTGGCAAAGCAGCATATGAAGTGAATGTACACGGTGTATGTATGAAGTCCTTGATATTGGTGTAGGTAAAGTGACATATGCAATAAGACTAGTAAAAAAATACATTTGTATATCAGCGGTAGTGTAATATAAGCAGCAGTGTGAGTATAAACAGTAGTGCAAATGGAAAACAGTAGTATGAATAAAAACAGTAGTGCAAATGGAAAACAGTAGTATGAATAAAAACAGTAGTGCAAATGTAAACAGTTTTATGAATAAAAACAGT